ATAAATTAATAACAAATATTTATATTTGACAAAATATTAGGAACTCTGATGGTATAGGTATAGAGCCCAGTGTTGGTCTGCTAAGGAAAGGGTCAATCTATTCACCCCTCCTGGAGAGAAAGATGAGCAGTATCCTCCAGTAAAGATTTAGTCTTGGAAGTCTCATAGAAAGTGACTAAGAATGGGTGTAGACTCAATGAGAGTGCATTTAAAACAAATACTGAAATACAAGTTCTAGAAGTTTTAAAGTAAGGGAATGTATTCTGAAGTGAGTATCCTATTCGACCAGTAATCTCTGGATTTGGGGAGAAGCTCCTTGCTCTGACATTTTTCCATTCTGTTATTTTGTGGAATTACTCCCTCCTGGCTCTCAGGTTTATATAATTAGACACAGACCTTGCAGAGAGATGAGCTTCTTTCTGGAGAGTTAATGTTCCGATCGGAACACTTTCCTGAAGCCTCACAGTTAATTGCTCTAAGTGAAAATGAATTCCTCTCCCCGGGAATGATTTAAAATGTATAGATTTCTCTTTTGATTGGTGGCAGATTTTTGTCACTGTCAGATGGGGAAGGAGAAGGAGAGAAAATGATACTCTCCTTGCTTACACATCTTTTTGATAATGAGTGGTGAACATGGGCCCACAAGCACTGGTACTGAATGACTTTGACGCCTCAGTGCTTTGCTTTTGATAAGAGAGAGTTTTGTCTCTTAATTGTGAAGAAGTATGTTTGGGTTTCTAAAATATTTTAAATTATGCTAAAAATATACATAACAAAAACATTTGCTAATTCAATACATTCTACATGTGTAGAGCAGTGACATTGACTATAATCTTCATGTTCTGCCACCATTGTCATTGTTGTTTTCCAGTTTACTCCACCACCATTAACATAAACTAATTGTTGTTGAGCTGACTCCAACTCATAGTGACCAATGGCTATTAGAACTCTGATGTACAGTTGGTGAGATTGTAAAAGGGTATAGCCATTCTGGAAGGTAGTTTGGTGTTTCCTCAAGAAAGCAGAACAGAGAGATTCCAAGTTGTTGTTGTGACATCGAGTCATCTGTGACCCATAGCAACCCTGTGTACAGCAGCTCTGAACCCTTTCCTATCCTGAGCCAGTCTCACTAATTCCAACACATCAACCCTCACTAATTCCAACACATCAACCCTCATTGTCCCAGTTACTTTATCAATCCATCTCATCAGGGTCTTCCTCTCTGACACTGTCCCTTCACTCTTCCAAGCATGATGTCCTTCCCCAGGGACTGATTTCTCCTGGTTACATGCCCAGAGTATGTGCGATGAAGCTTCACAATCCTAACCTTCAAAGAGGTACTTGGTTTCACCCTCTCCAAGACAGACCTATTTGTTTTCTTGGCAGTCCATGGTATGTTCAAGACTCTTCTCCAGCTCCACAGCTCAAAGGCATCTATTCTTCTTTTGTCATCCTTGGTCATTGTCCAGCTCACTGATGCGTAACAAATAATTGAGAAGACCATACATAGCCTGGATCAGGTGCACCTTAGTCTCTAGACTGACTTCATTCAGTATAACGTAACAAGGTTCATTCACATTGTGAAGTGTGTCAGGGCTTTGTTTCTCATCACAGAAGCCACATTTGCCTTAAGGGATTTAACTTTAAAATAAGTAGAAAAATGCTCAGATTTGTCATGTATAAACTCATGCTCTCTATTGCAAGGTAGTCATGACACACCACACAAAACTGACTCCAAGACATTCATTCAACCCTAGAGAATCAATAAGGAAGAGTAGGGGAAAACATGTTTCTAGCCTTCAGGTGTTTTTAATGTTATGGAGGTGTTTTGGGAAGCTTGACTGGTGCCTTGTCCTCAGGGTTCTGTTGTAGCTGGGGTGTGAGGTTGATGAGGGTGGACAGAGTCCCTCCCACAGTCACCAGCAAAAGCTTCAGTCTCTGGAGAGGGTCAGAGGCTTCACTGATGGTACAGTCTTGCTCATGTGGGAGATCAAATGCCCAGGTCTTATATGCCAACGGTCTTTCCTAGGTTGTATTGCTTGCTTTGTGTCAGCATAACTTGTACCATGTGATCAGGAGCACACATTGGGGTTTCTTCACATCGATTATCTAAGGGCAGTGTCACACCATAACATATAACCACGGGTTAAAAACTCTCACTGGTGTCAAGTCAGAACCAACTCATAGCTGGTACCATTGAGTTCCTGAGGCTATAGTGTACAGGAGGAGATTGCCATCTTTCCCCGCTGGTGGATTTGAACCACCAGAAAGATGAGGCCTTAGGATTAGCAGTGCAACTCCATGCAGGCTCTGCCACTACATCGGGTTATAAAATTAGATGAGTTCTTTTTAAGTCTTAGGTTATTTACAGATTAAATGTTCAAGTCAAACATTACTTGTTTCAGCATACATGAGTTTGGATTATTCTTTTATAAGCCTGCATCTCCATCTGTAAATGAAGTCAGTAGTGTCTCTGAGGGAGTGAGGGGGCTCCAGAGTCTGGACACAGCAGGCACTGTTCTTAATTGGCCAGTGCACACATAACCTAAGGAGCTAAAGAGTGGACAGTTAAGGAGTTGCCTTTTTGTGTCAGAATCCTAGGCCTGTTCTACGGGGTCCTTGTGGTGCAGTGTTTGAATGCTAACTACTAACCAAAAGGCTGACAGAGGTTTAAACCCTCCTAGCAGTGCTGTGGGAGAAAGACTTGGTAGTCTATTCCTGTAAAGACTGTTGATAGATGCCATCGAGTCAGCTCCAACTCATAGTGACCCTGTGAACCACACATCTGAATCCTGCCCTATCCTGTGTCTTCCTCTCCATCCCTGATATGCTCGGACACATTGTTACAGTCACTGTGTCGAGCCATTGTGTGAGGGTCATCTATTCTTTTGATGACCCTCTAGACATAACCCTGCTTGCTGAAACTGAGGAGGACCTGAAGCACTTTCTGCAGAGGGTTAAGGACTGCAGCCTTCAGTATGGATTGAGGTTCAATATCAAGAAGACAAAGATTCTCACCTCTGGGCCAATTGGCAGCATCAGGATGGATGGTGAAGAGATTGAGATTGTTCACAGCTTTAGTTTGCTTGGCTCTGCAATCAACACTCTTGGCACCAGCAGCCAGGAAATTAAAAGACATATTGCATGGGAAAGTTTGCTGTTAGAGACCTCTCTAAAGTACTCAAGAGCAACGGTGTGTCTCTGGAGACTAAGGTGCGTCTGATACAGGCCATGGTCTTTGCAATCACTTGTTATGCATCAGAGAGCTGGACAATGACCAGGGAGGACAGAAGGAGAATTGATGCTTTTGAACTTTGGTGTTGGAGAAGAGTGCTGAGCATGCCATGGACTGCTAAGAAAGCAAACAGATTAATCCTGGAGAGGGTTAAATCGGACTGCTCCTTGGAGGCAAGGATTCTGAGACTTTGTCTGATATACTTTGGTCATGTTGTAAGGAGAGACCAGTCCTTGGAGAAAGACAACATGCTTGGGAGGGTGGAGGGCAGGTGCAGGAGGGGAAGGCCCTCTGGGAAATGGATTGATTTGGTGACTGGGGCAATCGGGATGAGTGTGTCGGAGACAGTGAGATTGGCACAGGACAGAGCAGAGTTTAGGGCTGTTGTACATAGGGCCGCTATGAGTCACAAGCGACTCGACGGCACATAACAACAACAACAACATCCCTCCTTCCCACACACTCAAGGCATGTGAAACAAAGCTTCACTGTCCTCGCCTCTGAAGCCCACTCTGGTTTCACTTCCTCCAAGTCAGACTTGTGTGTTCTTCTGGCAGTCCGTGGGGTATTTGGTACTCTTCTCTATCATCACAATTCAAAAGCTTTGGTTCTTTTTCTGTCATTCTTAATAGTTTTCCAACTTTCAGAAATGTAGGAAGCAATTGAAAATACTATGGCTTGGAGCAGGTGCACCTCAGTATTTAAACTAACATCATTGTTCCTTAAGACTTTGGAGATATTCTCAACATCAGGTTTGCCCAGTGCAACACGTCTTCTGATTTCTTGACTGCTGCTAGTGTGGGTGTTGACTAGGGATCCAAGTAAACAGCCTAGTAAACCTTTTGGGGACATTCTACTTGTGTGCTTTGGGGTCACTATGAGTTGAAATAGAATTGATTGCACTTAACCACCTCCTCATGGCAGGAACACTCTGCTCCCATTCAAGGTACAGCACCCAGTTTCCTTCTAGTCAGTGGGAGGTGACAAGATGCCAGGAGATTGTGGGCACTGAGGGACTGACTCTAGGCTTGCTGAACAGAAGGCATTTCTCAGGACTGAAGGCACAAGGCTTTGACCAAGAGTATAAAAGAAATAACTTGTTTATTGCTCTGCCTTTGCTGAGTTAAACCCATATTCCCAGGCAGGCAGACCTACCCAATCAGGGTATCCATGTGGTTTTTATATGTTTGTTTGGTTGGTTTAAAAAGAAACACACTGCTTATGGAAGGCTTGCCTACTCCTGCCAATTAATCACCCTATGTCAATACTGCATATTACCCCAACTCACACTGTAATTACGTTCTTAGCCATCTGTGAGAATGAATTCAATGTGAAGTGTGTGGGAATCTCTTTGCTTGAGAGGACCTGTGTAGACTTTAGAAATTGTAGGATTACTCTTTCATTTACCTGAGGGCTTGTGGGCATGAGTAGCAGCTTCAGGTGGAGGTGGTTGTTCTTTGCGGGAACCTCTTGTAGAAATGTCTTTTTGCTCCTGGGGGACTGTTTCTTTGCCGCCCAGCAGAGGTGGTGGGTGGTCTGGGGAGGTGGCCACAATCTTATAAACATCACATGCCCCTTGCATGAGGGCACATTTGCATATAAGCGGTACCTTTGCAGAAAGGAGATTTAGGGCATGGTGCTAGACGAAGAGCAACAACAGTACATGCACTCATTTGCCCTTCACTGTTAAACTGTTAATAGACTTAGAGAACTGTTGTGATATCCCAAATTCTAAACTGCTGCTCTCCCCCATCTCTGTTCACAGCGGGGCATTCTCGGAGGTGGTTTTAGCTGAAGAGAAGGCAACTGGAAAACTCTTTGCTGTCAAGTGCATCCCGAAGAAGGCACTGAAGGGCAAAGAAAGCAGCATCGAGAATGAGATCGCTGTGCTGAGAAAGTAAGTGTGGGTGGGAAGGGCCTGCTGCCCTGACCATCTTGACTTGGTTGCCTGGTTGCTGGCTCAGGGGAGTGTCACCTTCCCAGAGGTCACATAGGGTGACCGAAATCCAGGTCTGGAGCAAGAGGGTGGACATGGTAACACTGACTTACATTACAGGGTGCTTTCCTAGAACTGTCATCTGAGTACCAGACTTGGCCACTTAGTAGTATTTGCCTGGAGAACTCTGCAACAATGATTCAGAGACTATGTTGGGACTTGGTAAGAAAGGATGCTGTAATGAGTTGTGCTGCTCATACAAAGCCTGTGTCTCTGGCTGTTCAAACCCACAAGCTGCTCTGAGGGAGAAGAATGGGCACACTCCTTCCACTGCAGTGCCCAGCCTTGGAAATCTGACAGTGGGTTGCGGCGAGTGAGAATCCACTTGATGGCTGTGAAGTTATTTTTCATCCTATCTTTTATCACATGTGATAATAATTTGAGATATTGCTTCAAAAGAGTATATAAAACTCAGGCAGAGTTTTTAAAGTTATTGTGATAAAATAAAAAGAATGTAAATTTTTGCCGTATTGACCATTTTTTAAGTATATAATTTCTAAGTATTTTATGAACTGAATAAATTTTGTGCAATATTCACCATCATCTATTTTCTAAAACTTTTCTAACATCTCAGGTACTCCATGGGATCTATGTTGATGTAGCAAATAGATTGTTCCTCCATCCTCCTGCCTCCCAGCACCTGGTAACCTCTTATCTACTTGTGGTCTCTAGGAATTTGTTTGCCTCTTGTAGGGATTTTATACAAGGGAATTAGACATTGTTTCCCCCTGTGTATCTGACTTCATTAATTTACCATACTTTCCATTTTTCATCCCTGTTGTATCAAGTACTAGAGTCTCACTCCTTTTTTTGTGGCTGCATACTATTCCTTTGTATGGCTAGACATGTTCTGTTTATCCATTGCCCTGTTGTTGGATGAATTTTTATTTTTGTTGCTCAGGTATATTTGAACAAGGACCCCTGGAGCTAAAGTGAACGTTGTGTTGGGCTCTTAACTGAAAGGTCAGCGATATCCAAGTAAGCCAGTACCCACTTGGCAGAAGAAGGGCAAGCAGTCTCCTCCCATAAGGTTTTACAGTTTAGAAAACTGATGGAGGATCTTTGGTGAGCCAGAACTGACTTAGCAACAGTGAGTTGATATGAATATAACAGAATCTTCTCCTCTCCGCTGTATAAACACATAAAAGACTGTTTTCATGTTGCTGAATCCTCTCAAGAGATGGTCTGTCCTTAGTATGTGCCCCCTCCCCCATCATCAGTATTGAGCCATTCCACTATATCTCACAAGGTTTGAGGGAAACATGTCTTACATAGTATCTGCTTTAAGACCTCTGGCATGTATCTGAATTTTGTTGTTGTTGTGTACCATTGCATCGAAACGGACCCATAACTGACCCTCTGGTGGGTTTTCAGAGGCACTTAATTACACAGGAGGAAAATGCCCATCCTTCTCCCACAGAGCATCTGGTGGATTCGAACCACATGCCTTAGAGATTACAGTGTACCTTCTTGCTCCTAGGCCACCAGAGCTCTGCTATCTGAACCATAGTCTATGAAAATCTTAAAGAGTTACTCTTAATAAAAAATGTTAGAAATATTCTTGAATATCTAGGGATTGGAAATCAGCATATAGCAAGAATCTGTAAAGTTAAGCAAAATATAGTAGGAACAAACCTTTTAGGACTTCAAAGTAAATGTCACTCGGCCCACTTTCTTCCTGACTTTGAATTTCCTCCCCTCTGCCACTTTTCTGTCTCCCTGGGACCAACAGTGCCCCTGAGACAGCACTTTGCTGCCCTGGATGCAAGGGTAAATCAACCAAGGTGGTCAGGACAGCATATCCTCCTCTGATCCCTGTGTGTGGCAGGCATGGTGTGTGTTCCCAGTCTAATGGAGCTCACCAGCTTTTCAGTACAAGAGATTTTGCTTATTTGTTTGGTTGTTGGGCTGGTTTCTAGGTCTATTAGAGACTCGGTGAGTTTCAGAGTGTCCTGTGGAGGATCGCTTGGAATGATTATATCGACAAGAATTTGGAAAAACAAATTATCCTAAGTACATTAGCATCAAGCAGGAAAAAGCTGTGTTAATGAGACATTTATTTAAATTGCTCCTTTTCTGATATGAAATCAGTGCTTTGAGAAGAGAGTGTCCGCTGATGACATTAAATGACAGATTCATCACACATACTTGGCATTTTAGTTGGAATTCCAGGTGGGCTCTGAGTCCGCTGGGCTTCTGTTGAATTGAGAGGGAGGAACTAAAAATCTCAAGCTCATTACTGGTGAATCGGAACTGACTCATAGCTGACCTGCCGGTGGGTTTTTGAAAGCTGTAATCAAACAGGAGGAGACTGTGGATTTGATCTGCCAGAGAAGTGCCCTCTTTGGGTTTGTCACACAATTCCCTATGGACTAGGCCGCCAGAGCTCTCTTGGGAGGGAAGAGAGCGTTAACATTTTATGTGACTCTCAGTGGAGCTTAGAAGTAAAATCTGGAGAAGTAAGTTTCTATTTTCAGTGTTATATGAGTAGGGGCATATTTGTAGACTTTATCGTTCAGTCTTAGTTTATGCATGGGTTTTGTGCCTTAATTAGTGTATCCTCCTTGCGCTTCATTGAAATAATAACCACTTCTAGGGCAGGGATATTTAAAACCAAGGAGGGCTAGGAATGTGGAATAACTAATTTCCATAGTTCCTTCCTGTTAGCTGTTAGAGTGCTTTGGTGCGTGACCCTTCTTTAAAGAATACAAAACAAAGAAATGATTTCTCAGGGGATGAAAAGGTGATGTATCTCTTGTACTGATTTATTTTTTGGGGGGCTTCTGCAAATGTTTTACAAGTAGAATAAGAGGCAGTTCCACAGCATAATCAACAGAAAGCAAAGTGTAGAATAAGAGGCAGTTCCACAGCATAATCAACAGAAAGCAAAGTGTATTAGTTGGATGGAAAATAGCTTGGAGCCTCTCTTAGAATGCGGCCTTTGAGGCATTCATTAACACATAGTCATTAACTTCCCACTGTGTGCCAGGCACCAATATTACAGAATGTTGCTTTAAAGATAAGATTGAGTTCTTGTCCTCAAGGAGCTTACAGTTTGGAGCTCTTCAAGGAGCTCATACGTTAATAAAGAAATGCTCTGAATAAATCATGAGCAAGGGGCTGAATATGCCCAGTTCTTCCCTTGAGGGGATGGGAGCATGACTAAAACAAGGAGCCCTAGTGGTGTGGTGATTTAGAACTCAACTGCTAGTCAAAAGGTTGATTTGAACCCACCAACTTCTTTGCAGGGAAAATAAAATGGGAAGTATGCTCTTGTAAAGGTTACAGCTTTGGAAAGGCTATAGGGCAATTCCGCCCTGTCCTTTACAACAGCTATAAATCAGAATTGGCTTACTGGCTATAGGTTCGGCTTTTGGCTCGGAGAACAAAATGTTCCTGAAGGAGGTGAATCTAGATAGTGTATTTTCCTGGGTTAAGAATGACAGAGTTGTGTTCTAAACAGCAGAAACAGAACAAACAAAGGTAAAGAGATGTGAGACAGGCTGGTGTGCTGGGAAATTTCACCCAGCTCATCCAACCCAGTTAGAGTGTTCAAGGTGGGGAGACCTACACTTGGCAAGGTAAAAATGTGGAAAACTGTGTGTAGCACTTTGGACTTTGAATTTCATCCTTTGTTTAAAGTGGCGTCCCATAGAAAGATTTTAATGAGAAGAATAAAGAGGTCAGATATGCTTCATAATGTTTATTGTAGCTTAATTTACAGGGATAGATTGGAGGGACAAGACTCAGTGGAGAAGTTAGGGTCCATTAGCAGATTCCACCTGAGAAATGAAGAGGCAACAAATCAAGGCATTGGAGATGGGAGGAAGTTCTAGGTAGTGCCTGGTCATTGACCAAAAGGTTGGAAGTTCAAGCCTACCCAGAGGTGCCTGGTGATATACTTCCAAAAAATTAGCCATCGAAAAACCTGTGGAGCACAGCTCGACTGTAACACACATGGGTAACCATGAGCTGAAGTGGAAACTAGTTATGGGATGGAAAGGAGGAGGCAGATGTTAGGGTATGAATGAAATAAATTTTTTAGGATTTTAGATTTTGCTAGAAGTGAAGAGAGAGTTGAGGGAGAGATAGAATTCCAGGATAATGATCAGATTCTGACTTTGTTGACTGGGTAGATAGTGACCTTGTTAACTGAGATCAGAAATGCAAAAGCAAGGCAGGTGGTGAGTTGAGTTTTGGACATGTTTAGTATGAGAGCCTGGGTAAACACGACTATTGGTCCATTGATTGTCCACGTCAGCTGTGATGTGAGATTGCTAGGGGTTAACGCTTTTCAAGACAACTTAGAAAATACCTTTTGATTTTTTTTCATAACTGCACTCATGTCATGCAGGTAGCACAGTCTTGCTCACAGAAAGTGAAAAGACTTAAAGTACTTACTAAAGCATATCAAAGACTACAGCCTTCAATATGGGTTACATCTCAACATTCAGAAAACAGAAATCCTCACAATTGGATCAACTGAAGCAACTTCTTGATAGTTGAAGAAAAGTCTAATGTTGCCAAGGATAATTTTACCTGCATATATACTCATGGTAGCAGCTATCAAGAAATTAAAAGATGTGTTGCATTTGGCAAATCAGCTATTAGGTACCTCTTTAAAGTGCTAAAGAGCAAGGGTTCTAGTTGAAAGACAAAGGTGTGCCTGACTCAAGCCAGGCTATTTTTTGTTGGTGTCATATGCATGCAAAAGTTGGGTGATGAATAAGTATGACCAAAGAAGAATCGGCTTCTCTGAATTATGGTGGCAACAAAGAGTACGGAATATCTCATGGACTTCCTAAAGAACAAACAGCTCCATCCTGGAGGAAGTGCCACCAAGGGTTCCTTGGAGGCAAAGATAGTGAAACTCTGTCTTATATACTTTGGGCATGTTCTCA